AAGTGTTTGTTTTAAAGGTTATTACTATAAAAGGAAATTTTTTGCCAAAAATCGATTTATGGGAAAGAGTTTTTTTTTGATTTTAAGAAGAATATTATATCATTTAATAAAAAAACAATTTATTAAATAGGTTATCCTATTTTTAATATATTTATTTATATTATGTCAAGTGAAATAAGTCTTTTATTTTTTTAAAAAATAACATTTAAATATGCCGTTGTGAACAAAATTATTTTATGTAATTTTTAAGTTAAAATAATAAAGAAAGAACCATTAACTTATTTATTTTGATAAATAAATAATTACATATTTTTTAATTTTTGAAATTTTAAAAAATTTAATTTAAATTTTATAAACTTTTCATCAATCAAATCTCAAATATCCTTTTTTTCAAACGACATTATTTATGTTATTATACAGTATATCTGATTAAATATTTAAAGATATTTTAATTATTATTTGTAAACTAATTGATCAATCAAAATAAAAATTTCCAATACGTTTTTTATGATAGAGATCAAAATAGTGATTATATGAAATCTTATATTTGGTAATTCCAATTTATATTCTTAAATAATAATTAGGATTATACATGAAAAACCGATTTTTTAAAAATTTCATAAAAAGCTTATTCGGATTTTTTGTAAACTTAATTGCAATACATGGGTTTAGTAATTAAGAATTATATATTTTTTATCATTATATACTGTAAATAAAAAATCTTCAATTATTTTTTAAAGAGCTAGTATTATCATCAAGTTATATGATTAAATCAAATTGGTAAATTATTAATTGATTAAAAATAACACTATTAATTTGCAGAAATCATATTAATTAATACGTACACAGGTATCATGAAATTAATATTTATGTGGTGCAGCGAAATTTCAATTCATCGATAATCTCATATCGTAGTACTGAACAATTTATTTCGTTTTTCGAATATCGAGAAGAAAGGAAGAAAACAGCGATTGGATCGATGGCGAAGCTGTGGCGTGGCACTAGAAATCAATTTCAAGTGATTTCAGGTACAGATCGAATAAATTCGGATAGCATAATACGATGTTAGAGCCTTTGCCTCAATATTTGGCTTGGGCAAAATCCTTCTAAATATGTAAACCAAGTTTTTCCGTGTGAGACGGTTGAGCTAATTCTACAGACTTAGGCGTTTGTGATCGGATACGAGAATAAGAGCTTGAAAAAAATTGCGCAATGCGTGAATTATGGATGATCAGGATCGCCGATTTCGATCAAATTCAAATCTGAGATTTCTGTAGAACCAATTTGATTCAATATCTGGTCCTAAACAAGGTACATATATGCATAAGGTATAAAAGAATATGTAGACTGTCTCAACTGTGCCACTCACACGAATATGTGATCACACACTTGAAACCCTGATATCACACAGGAAATACGTTGATCGAAAGTCAGGTCATCTTTCGAAAATAATTAAAATTTCGCGAAAATGTTGAACTCTGATCCTTGAATGAAAGACGAAATCAACTACACAAGGCAAGGAATAAGCGCAATTACCTGAGTTTTTGGTGGTAATAAATAAAAAAAAAATTTTTTCTTTTTTTAAATTCTCGTTGAACCTCGCTCAAGGAACATAGCAAGTGCTAATGCAAGAATATTTCTAGTATACGGAACCTTTGAGAGTGGCTGAGACTGTTGACGATGAGTCGAAAGGAAGCTTCGTGCGTTTCTTTATATGGAAAGTTTCTATGAGCAGTTCTCGTTTCAAATAAAAGTTATTCAATTAATTTATTGTTTCCGCGTTGATTATGAATTGAATATAAAAGACCAAGTTTCAAGTCTTCCTATTTCAGTATTTTCATCTGTTCTCTTATGAATCTTTTTATTACATCATAATGTCATCGTCTCTTTATAAAACAAGAATATTTACCGCAATCTTCGGTGTTTTGCTATTTAATTTTTTTATCTTTGATGTGTCATTGAGTTTAGAATTCGAGTCGGTGAATTCCGATATCTTTAGTCCGATCACACCACTAGAAAAGACACCACAACCTATAACACGTAAATTTAACTTATTATTACAACGTGCTTACCTGGATCCTGACGGTTTCACACGTTTAGTTTGGACCTCAAATGGACAATACCCTGGACCTACGATTCGCATTAATAAAGGTGATAGATTAGTTGTTAATGTCACAAATAACTTGACAGATCCTGCTACTATCCATTGGCATGGGATATTTCAGCGTGAAACCAATTGGTTTGACGGAGTGGCTGGTCAAACACAATGCCCAATTCCTAGTGGAGTCTCATTTGTCTATAATTTTACGGCGGGCGATCAGGTCGGGACGTATTGGTGGTAAGTTTTCTGTTTGATAGAATTTCACATGATATACAGTAGAAATATTGAAACGCGATTTTCCCGTGAAGGCACTCTCATTATCTTGCTCAATACGTTGATGGTCTTCGGGGACCTCTTATTATTCATGATCCGGATGATCCTTTCTTGAAAGAGTATGACGCCGAATTCATTCTCACCTTATCTGATTGGTATCATCGTCCTTCTGGCGAATTACTCCCATTGAGACTGACTCCGGGTTACTCTGGTTTCAATGTTTGTATTTACCATCCCAAATAACAAAATCAATATTTTGTTTTGTAAGACTATAATATAAATCGAATTGTTTTTCTGTTCTCATCAACAGCCCGTTCCAGATGCGGGACTCATCAGCGGTAAAGGTCAATATAATTGTTCGGCAGCTCCACAGGGGAGCAAATGTAACTCCACTAAAACACCAGCCATATATAAAGTAGTAAAGGACAAAAAGTACCGATTTCGAATTATAAATACAAGGTAGAATTAAATAAACTTTAAGAATTTTTTACCGATTGCATACTGATCACGTTACGTCTTTTCGACAATATAGTGGCGCAGCTTTCTTCTTCTTCTCGATTGATAATCATCCGCTGACTATAATTGAAGTCGAAGGCACCTACGTGAAACCCTATACTGTCAACACGCTACCCATTTTCATTAGTCAACGTTACTCGGTGATCGTGAACGCCAACCAACCTGTGGATAATTACTTTATCCGTGCTACCATGGCCCGTGACTGTATTTTTAATTCCCCCACTACCATTAATCACGATTCCGCCATAAATTATAATGTTACTGGCATCTTCCGTTACGACGGAGCGCCCAACGCTACCCCAAAATCACAACCATACAACGATGATTTTACGAAGAGTTTACTTCCTTGTCGTGATTTGGATCAATCTTACCTGAAACCCTACTACCCTACCCCACCACCACAGGACTCTACAATACAATTCGAATTTCAAGTTACCATTCGCCAGGATCGCGAAAATGTAACCAAGGCATACATAAATAATCAAACTTTTATTCCAGATTTAACATCACCCTCAATCAGCAAGATTATGTTAGGAATCGATCCCAAGCAATTTCCTGTTTACCAAAATGCATATGTCTACGATAAAGAAAGTGATGTCGTGGACATCGTTCTGTTAAGTATGTAAAATACAAAAATCTTTTTATCTGTGGTATTTCGTCCCAAGTGACTTTTCGCAATCTTCATATTAGATCAAAATGGAGCGGATCATCCATTCCATCTGGTGTGTAATATCGAATTTTCTTTATTCATTCTCGCAAGTTCACGAAGCAATCTTATAACTACCTTTTTTTATAATCCTTCCAAAAAGCACGGACACAATTTCTGGCTAATAGGATCAGGAACGGAGAGAGTTGTCAATAAAACCAAATATAATTTAGTGGATCCCATCCTACGCGACGTAACCACGGTTCCTGGTGGAGGGTAAGTTTGATTTATTTAACATTTGAAACGTGACGTTTATGTGTGTCTCAATTCATTCGTGCGTTCATTTACTAGTTGGGCCGTGATTCGTTACAATGTTGATAATCCAGGATGTTGGGCTTTCCATTGTCATATCGATGTAATTACCAGCCAAATTCTCGATTTTTTGTACACCGATTTCTTTTGACTGACAGTTTAATTTTCTCTCGCAGTGGCACGTTGAATTGGGGATGGTGGCGCAATTGATAGAATTACCAACTAAATTGGCCGACCGTGTTTTACCACCAGAAGTACGTAATTTATGTTTACAATATTCAAAGAGAGTTGCGATACCTGGATTGGCAGGCGATAGTCTTGGATTGTTGAAGAAAAATGCCAGAAGATCTGGCGTCCTTCGACGGATATCTGGGATCTAAGATGTTTGTATTTTTATTGGAATATAATAACTTCGATATGATGATATTTTGGTTAATATTAATTCAAGCGAAGCGTACATTTGCATATAGCACTTTGTGTCTATTTTCACCAATGCCATTATTTATTTAATTTCATTCAATTTTTGCAATTAACTTCACTAAATTATTTGGAGTTAGTTAAATCGAAGCTTTTCTTGTATTTAAACAAATTTGTATTCTATGTAATGTTCAAGCGAGCTTCGGATGTTTCTATTTCCTTGTTCGTTTTTTAATAAAACACACAAATTTTCCATTTCCTCTTCTTTGAGACAAGCTTTCTCTTTCCCATTTAAAAAAGGGCAATTGACTTTACAACCATTTTGTTATTTTACCTGTGCTATTTAATTGTATTTTAATTTTTTCGTAAAGGTATATGGTGGTGCATTATATCTAATTAAAGTCAAGATATTGTTCTATATTTTAATTATACATATATTTATCGATTATATTTTCTTATATACTGTATATACTGTATATATGGATTAAATCAATATTTTGTAAAAAATAATAATTTTTTACTTTGTATTATTAATTACGGTAATTATTATATTTGAAATCCGGAATTTTATTTAAAAATAAATTTACGATTTTAATCGAAAATCTTTTAATAAATATTTTCAATTTATAATTGATTTTCACAAATTTATAGAAAAAGATTTATAAAAAATTTGTGAAAAAATTTTTTTATTTTTCAATATCAATTATATTGCTTTAAATTATTTAACTTTATGATTTACACATATCAATATTGATATAAATCAATTATAAACAATTTTTAATTTTTGATATTAATTGATAGAAAACAATACTATAAATATATATTAATTATATGTTGACTATTGATAAATAACTTTTTAAAAATTTTTCTTATATATAATAACTTGGACATAAAATAATAAGTTATGGTACAATAATATGGTTGAAGCCAGATAGTATAATCCTTTTTCATAATTCTTCCTGTTTTTTCTTTATATTTAATTATTTTAGCCATCTTACTATTGTCATATTAATCAGTCATATAATTACAGTCATGTTTCATTTCTCATAGTTACAATGAGTATTCTTATTTTAATATAACAAAAAATTTTGGAGAATTATAAATCTTAGGTTTTTTAATTTTAGAATAAACTTTAGATACAAGGTGTTGCAAAAAAAATGGCAAAAAAATTTTTTATAATTGAAATTTTTATAACAATTAAATAAGTATTTATTAAAAAAAATTTTTTTAATTTATATTTTAAAAGATATAGATTTATTAAAATTTTTAATTAAAAATTTATTATATTATTATTAATATATATATATATTTTTAAAAAAATCATTTAATTTATTATTTTGTTCTTTTATTTTACTTTTTAAAATCTTTTATTTAAAAAGCAAAATCTATTTAAATATATATATATATTACTTTTTTATAAACAGAAATTAAATAGAAACTAAAAAGTAAAATATAAAATTTTTATTAAAAATTAAAATATAAAATTAAATTAATAATTAATTAATAAAGTAGTTCTAAATAAAAATTATTCTATAGATGTCAATTTAATTATATTTAAAATTTTTTTTTTAAAAAATAGTTTTTGTTAAGTTACAAATAAAAATATAATTGCTATTTTTTTTGCAATACTCTGTATATATTATACTGTATTATATATATACTTATTTATATAAATTAACCTTTAAACAATCAATTTATTTTATAATTAATTTATAATAGTAGTTTATATAAAACATTTGATTTTATTATCTAAATTAACTTTGATAAATTAAGTAAATATATTTCTATTATAGAATTCTACATTCAATAAAATTTTTGCTAAATTTGAATGAAGTTCTAACATTTTATTTAACAATTTATACTTATCTAAAATTAAATATTATTATATAATAATTTCAGTAAAATTAAAAAAAAATTTCATTATGAATAGAATTAATTATAATAATTATGTTTTCTTAATCTATTAAGATTAATTTATATAATAAAATAAAAACTTTTACAAGAAATTATAATCATAAATTTATGATGATAATTTTGAATTTCTTTTTTTATTTATAGTAATTTTATTTATTAAATAACTTTTTAAATATATAATATAAATTTATATAATTTAATACAAGTAATTTAAAACCTAATAAATAAGATTAATTAATCATATATTGCTTGTTAAAGCACTAGTTATAGAAATAATATGAATGTTACAGTATAATCAAAATCAAAAATCGCCGCATGAAATGTAAACCTAAACGCTAATAATAAAATGTTGTTACAAATTAGCAAAACTTTCAAAACATACGTATTTAGTGGTCTAAATTATACTTGATACACAAAACCATATACACCTAATAAAATAAAAAGTTTATTATGTGGTAACTTTTTACGTTTAAACAAAACTTCGGATTTTTTCGAAAACCCCGTGTACAGTATTAGATTTTCTTATATCGAGTAAACCAGGACCCGGAAAACAAACCTCGAAAAAAAAAAATAAAGAAAAAAACCCCGAAAGAAAACAATCGAAGAAAAAATCCAAAAAATAAAACAACAAAAAATAACCCCGAAAAAAAAAAACGCGAAAAAAAAATCTCAAAGAAAACCCGAAACCCGAATAAAAAAAAACCGAAAAAAAAAACAAAAAACAAAACCTCAAAATAATAATAATCTGTAATAATGATAATACAATTGGAAAACAAACTCAGATTTTAGTGTTACATTTACAGTATTACACTAGTGCAATGCGACACTTACAGTATCGCTTTATTGTCTGTCATTCAGCCCAAATGCACTTAGTTAAAGAAACTTTGTACAGTAAATGCGTGAAATTTTGGTAACACATGCACCATCGTCCCGTATGTACAGTAATAGAATCATATTATTTAAACATTATGCCTATATCGGAAAAAGTTTTAAAAAAAGCTTTATCGATATTCTTGGTTAGATATTTAGCCAAAATTCACACATTGCTAAAAGTGGAAACCATGTGACACATACGCTATCGTCCCGTACGTAACTGAATCCTAAATTTTGTAATACGATATAGCTACGGCTTAGTTATTTTCTTTAAAATACTAAAAAATTTAAAATGAACATATTCTACACACATTACAAAAAGGGCAATATCCATTTAAAAAATGTTAGAAAACAAGAATCTGGTGGTCATCTAAAGGAAGCAATAGATACCTACCAAAACGCAATTGAAGAATTCAAGGCTCAGGGATTCTCATTTCATGACGTAAAAAAACGCTTAGCTGAAGCTTACTTTGAATGTGGTCACGTCTACAAAAGTTTAGGAGAAATGGATAATGCTAATATTTACTATAAAGAAGCTCGAAAGTATGGACCGAAATACAGCGAAGCATTGACTAAATCCTCAACATCAACAAATCCCTTGCAAACAGAAAACACACCTATAAAAAACACTTCTACTGGTTCAAGTGTATTATCGACCTCCTTGATAGAGACAACGACGCCGACCTTTTTACCAAAACTTGAATTTTTTACGCAAGATCCTCTAGTAACATCCAAGCAGATAAATGATATAAACAGTATTAACAGCACTCAAGATTTGGCCTATTATCTGCAACCTAACAATCATACCAAGGAACAGGCGCCACAATTAATAAAATTAGCCCAAGATATCGTTCAATTATTTGCTGATAAAAAACTCAAAACCAAAAACATAATCTATGAAGTTGTCATCTTAGCTTCCATCCCGAATGAAGAAATTTATAAAGATTTACTAGAGATAAGCATTAACGAAATCAAAAATTCAACATTACAACATTACAAACATTTGTTTTGCTTAACTCAAGTGATTCATTATATCAACAGATCAAAAAGTTAAAAGATAATCCAGCGTTAGCATACCATGCTCGCTACGCATGTCAGGCATTGTTGTACGTCACAAGTGATGAAAAATTATGGCAAGAAGTTATGCGCCGAACTTTTAAAATAGCTAGTGGAACTATTGGTTTATTTGATACGGTTAGAAGTTTAGACCCAAGTAAATTACTGGATACATTTAAAGATTTCAGTGAAGCATTTGAAGATTTTAATGAGGTTGCAAGTCGCATTCGAGAATTAGTCGAGACGGATCAAACATTAAGTGAAGGAGTAGAAGAAATTCGTCAAGGAGTAATGATTGAACAGACAAGACAATGGTATTTGGCTCTACAATTTATAGATATATTTATTCAAGAAAATCAGTTGAAGAAACTTGAGCAGTTTGTTCGTCAGAGTCCTCATAATAAAAACAAGTGGTTTTTAATAGGCCTGTGCCAACGCTTAGGACAGATTGCATGTACACAACGTGATTTAGGGATACAACAGGGGGCGGTTAGGTTTTTAGATGATCTTTCTCAAAACGAAAACCAGTGGGGACAACATCCAGAAGTCAAAAATTACGCCAAAGCGATGATTAATAAAGTAGCGTCTAGTGAAAATGCTTCCGATTCTTCCATATACGGGAAGTCCGAATTGTTAATTGAGGCTCGCCTTAAATTATCACAGAATTTAGCGTCAAATGCCACAGAACCGCTGGCGCAGTTAGGAAAAATTAGAAATGAATATTTAGACGAACTTGAACAAGATGAAGAGATCAAAAACGCATTAGGTTTATATGTGCCACCAAAAGGAAAGTGGACCCTGAATGCTACAAGCTCTTTTGACTTAAAGTCTGAGGTTGACGCTTTCTTAACTTCAGAAAAAAAGGTTCTGTTGCTCCTAGGTGAGGCTGGAGCGGGAAAGTCGACTTTTAACCGTTACCTTGCTCAATGTCTTTGGAAGGATTATTCGTCAGAAGACAAATTAGATAATAAACTTATCCCTTTATTTATTTCACTTCCAACAATAGATAATCCTAATGAGAAAATAATTCAAAAATATTTAAAGGATTTAAGATTTTCTGAGGAAATTATCGAAAACTTAAGACAAACCTGCAAATTCGTGTTTATATTGGATGGATATG